TTGCAATACTGGAGTTTCAACTCGGCCTTGAACTTACTAAGCAAGTGAACTCTAGCTCAAAAGCCCCTTCTTATCCACAAGGGATACTTTCAAAGATCCACAGCGAATTCCTGAAGCCACGTATAGATCAAACTATAATTTAATGCCTTTTCCATCTTTTTTTTTTTCTTTCATCTTAACTAGGCACTTATGCACTCTGGCCATAAGTTTTGAAGTACCACAGCAAAAAAACATTTTTCCTTCCTTGCCATTTCATGAATAGAAAGAGTCATTCAGACTGTCGTAGCAACCTCAGTACATTATTTTTTTTTTTTTAACTTCCTTATTAGGCTGAGAACTTTCACCTTTTCATTTAAAGAAAGCACTTTACACTAGTTGCTGGTGGCTCACACCTGTAATCCTAGGTACGTAGTCCGGAGGCAGAGATCAGGAGGATCATGGTTAGAAGCCAGCCCCTGCAAATGGTTCATGAGAACTTATCTTGAAAATACCCAACAAAGTAAAGGGCTGGTGGAGTGACCCAAATAGTAGAGCACCTGCCTAGCAAGTGTGAAGGCCTGAGTTCAAACCCCAGTACCACCAAAAAAAATAAAAAGCACTTCTCAACTTCTTTTCAGCATATTAAATTTCAGGCATCAATACTTTTGCATGTTGGGGCTATTCTTAAGTAAAATAAAGGTTACTTGAACTCAAGCATTACAACACTGTGATAACTAAGACAAGTATAACTTAAAGGGCAAGTAGTATATACTGTGTGGATACATTGATTCACCTCCTGGGCAGAGCAGGAGAGAAGCACAAGATTTTATCGTATTACTCAAGATGGTACACAATTTAAAACTTACAAACTGTGGGGCTAGAGTCATGGCTTAAGTACTAAAGTGCAAGTTCTTGAGTGCAAACCCCAGTACCACAAGAAAGGAAAAAAAACCCTCATGAATTGTGTATTTCTGGAATTTTCCATTCAATATTTTCACTTGACCTTGGGTAACTAAAACTGCAAAAGTAAAACTATAGACAAGAGGATTACTGCACTTTTTCTCCTATGCTAAAACTTGTGGTTCCTAAAAATATTAACAATTACTGGCTTTGTGCTATAATTATGAGCATAATAGTAGCAGAATAACAAAAATATTACTGATGGTATAGCTAATTGAAAGCTTAAGGGCTGGCAGAGTGGCTCAAATGGTAGAGCGCCTGCCTAGCAAGTATGAGGCTCAGAGTTCAAACCCCAGTCCCCACCAAAAAAAAAAAGAATGAAAGGATAACTTGCAGTTCTTTTTGTCTTTGACATATCTGTCTCACTAGCAACATAGAACACAGTGTTGAAGGTCACTTGAAATTGTTTTCTTTGTGACTATACCACCAAATTGGTAAATGGTAAGTTCTCTTGATGGAATTAATGAGTGATTTTCTTTTTATTTAATCTTGTTTTTAATTACCTTGTTCCAGAGTTAAAATTATAATTCAGGATACATTTGGAGTATTTTTGCATCTGCTTTTATCATTATCGTCTCTTCTTTCTTTCTCCTGTAGTTAGCCAGTTTGTTTGTTTTCTTGGTGGTACTGGGGTCTGAACTTAGGGCTTTACACTGGCTAAGAAGGTACTCTACTTCTTATGCTAAGCCTCCAGCCCCATTTCATCATTTTTTTTTGTTTATTCTTCCATTCATTATCATTTTAAAAGTATAACCAGATATATACAAATATATTTGCATTCCTGTACACCCAGAAGGTAGCGTACTGAGCATTCTGTTCTGTATCTTTTTTTTATTAACAAATCTTGGAAATAAGACTGTAGCAGTAGTTTCCTCATTCCTTTTTTACAGCTTCATACTTTCCCATTATGTAGATGTACTGTAGTTTTCCTTACCTAGTCTCCTTATTGATAGACAGTTTAGTTATTTATGGTCTTTTGGCATTATGACTAGTGCTGTAATCAATATATTTTTACACATACATTGAATTCTTTTTCTGCTAGGTATTTTGATCAACGTGATTTAGCTGATGAGCCATCTTGATAGTGCTGACATCTGGGATAGAAGATATTTCTGCTGAAGGCAACTTAAGTCTGAGGAAGTACAATGCCAGTTCAAGTGTATATTGTATCACTTCTTCAACACTGTGAAGGGTGTTCATTTAACCTGTGCAACTCAAGTTCATATTCAGAATATAGATCAAATTGAGTGTGTGAAATGTTGATGGAAAGTCCCACCTGGTATTTGATGAACAGTTTGAATGTTTTCTGCAGTCACATGCTTTGAAAATAAAGTGAGTGCCATTCTTTTGTGAAGTAGCCTGTGTCGAAACTATATGACATTATATAGAAGTCCTTGGTGCTCTTCCATTATTTGTTTATATCTATACGTATAAATTTTTGTTGAAAATGTGTTTTGGTTACTCTAGTTTTGTTTGACTCTTGAACAAAATAAAAGACATGAATATCCTGAAAATTAGAACTAAAATAATATAGATTAAATGGTAAATGTATTCATAGTCAACAACAAAACTAACCAAATGTTCTCCTTTAAGCACAGTACTTTTATTTTAAGTGCTTTATTACACAAACACATTTTCAGTACCTTAATAGGTCAAGTATTTTAATTTTTCTGTCAAATCTTTTCTCTCTCAGTTTATATATTTCTGTATCAAGTAGGAATGCTTTCTACCTTAAGTAACAGAAAATACAACTAGCAATGGTTATTCAGATAGGAGCTTGTTTTTCCCACAGAATAAGAAGTCTAGAGAAACTGGCCATTGGCACTGCTTCAGAGATTCCTCTAGCTTTTCCTCATAGTCACAAGATTGCTGCTTCAGCCTAGGCGTGGTAGCATGCCAGCCCTAAACTCACTATAATCCAGACTGCCCTCAAACTCATCATCCTCCTGTCTCAGTCTCCCAATTGTTAGGATTTTCCAGTGTGCACCACCACACCCAGCCAGATTGCCGCTCAACACAGTAAGTTCTATTGAAAAGAAGGGAAGAGTAGGTATTGGGTAGGCAGCTAGCAGTGTCTCCCATAAGGGGTTTGGATTACCAGCCTGTTCTACAACTACCTGTTACAGCCTCACAGTTTTTGCTGATTTGATACTGGGGATGTGGATCAACTCTGTGCTCTCACTCATGTATTACTAACCAATGCTAAATGTTGCAGTGATGAGATGCAGAAAGGACACAGGATAGACAGAAAGTTGGGGCCAGTGTGTTGGCCCCACTCAGGTGGAGATGCACAACCCTCATTGCTTCTTTTCTCTATTAGTCTCTTCACTCTGTTTCTTATCTCTGTCTTTTATTCTTTAAGGCCTTACTCCTTTACAGTTCTTTAAAACCTTGCTTCTAAAGTCTTTCCTTAAAACCTTGCTTAAAGTGTGCCCCCAGACTTGCACTGTCCCATGCTCTCTCTTTAGCTTTCTTAAAGCCTTGTGCTCAGGCTTGCACTGTCCCATGTTCTCTTTAGCTTTTCTTTAGCTTAGCTTTAGCAATTCCCCTTCGGCAATTCTCTTTTCCCTTCAGCAGTCTTCCCTCTAGCACTTTCCCTTCAGCAATTTATTTTCCCCCTTCAGCATTCCTTTTCTCTTCAGCAATCCTTCTGCTTTCCAAAGCCTCCCACATCAAAAACCCAAAAGCAAAAGCAAAAAGCCTCATGTCCTCCTTCAGGGAATCTTTTATACCCAGTAGTAAACAAGGAGGTGGAGCAAGGGCATGAGATTATGAGAGAACCCTGCCTTCCTGCTTCTCTGAACATAAACAATTTAGGAAAAGCAGCTGTTCTGCATTTTCCTCTTCTGCGCCTGGGGCTGTGCCAATCTCAGCCTATAGAAACATCTTAGGAAAAGCAGCTGAGCTGCATCTCACCTTGCTTATGTCCAGTTTTCATAGGCTTCTTATAATCTACTCTCCAAGAGATGGGGGCACTGGGGACTGATTTACTAACAAGGTAAAGTGTCAATTGTTTTTAAAGTTT